CAGAATGCACAACTTTCTTTTCTTGTTTGTAAGCCGTGGAGTGGCTCAGAAACAAGCAAAGGTTCTTTGCCTGCAGGCATTTGCCTCCTCTGAAATTCACTGATCTGCAAGAGGTTAACTCCGCTCGTCTGGTGCCTTACACGCGTGGTAACTTATCTGTGGCAGACTGGTGGGCTCACAGCATGGCGAAACATATGGATACGGGCCGGTCTGATTTAAATAAGACACTAACATCTTCCCACCCATCACCCCAAAACAAAAGCAGGTAGGATGAGGACATACCTCTTGCACTGAGCAAGGTAAAACCACTCGGCTGAAAGAGGAAAAGAGCAAATTCAACAAAATGAGTAATTAGGCTTCATCTGCAGATAACATGTATAAACTGTAACAAAGGCATTCCAGAAGGAAGCATCAAAATGAGTTAATTCAAGTTCTCTTTTGCCCTGTGACAATAAGGCCGCACTGATAAAATGCAGCAAACCCAAGTAAAATTCAATGACAGATATGTTACAAAAGGAAAAAAAAGGGGGTTAAGAATGTCAGAAGCTGCAGAGAAGGGCCCGGAAATCTTGGATCTACTTCCAGCTCTGCCATAACTTTGTGTTGCGCTACATTTGTTTAAACCGAGGTGTGAGCTTTTTTCACATGCCACGCAGGAAGCAGGCCTGTTTGTACAATTTACAAGGAGGACAAATGCACAGAGCCTACAAACGAATTTTGGCAATTGCAGCAGTTATGAATCATTTAAAAAGCAAGCACAGCTCCTACCCCGTTTAGGTGGCAGATGCCAGTACGGTTTAGGCAGTTTAGTTCTAACACAATACATTGTGCAGCTAACAGCAGCGCTGGGGGATGCAGAAGGTGGGTTTTCGCAACAACAGTACACTGCACAGACGGCCTTTTTCAGTTTCGCTTTACATAATAAAACAGGCAAAGACAATGCAAATCATTATTGCTGCAAAACAACATCATAGAACAACTGCATTGTTCCTAGGGCTTTTAAGTGACGTTATACCTCCTTTACTGAAAACCTTATGACCATTAGGATTCAATGCAACACAATTCTCCTGAAAGCATGAATATAAATTGGGCCTGTCCACTGTTCCACTGACGAAGAACGTTATAGTTGGCTGATTCAACTCCTGCTAACCCCTGCTGCGTCCGCATTTTGTGAACAGCAAGTTTGATATGGTTTTGCTTAGGTACTGCTACAAAAATTAATTCAGCAGCTTGAGTGCCCTGCACTGACCCTGCATGGCACAAAACAGCAACCTTGAGAAGACAAAACTGATCATCCCTGCAGATCAAATTCAGCCTTGCAATTTCCATGCAACTTCTTCTTCATCCCTTACTGGATAAAGATTTTTCTATTTTAATTTACCGTGTGTCTCACTGAAATAGTTTGTGATTTAAACGGTGAAACTTTCAGAGAGAAGCTGAGAAAAACATCATCAGCCTCCAATGTTGGCAAGTGTCAGGCTGAAAGCAGAGTTTGCATCCCAACACAGAATGGCCCGATGGCAGTCAAAATTCATTTTGACTCATTCCCACGAGGAGCCCTATTATACCTCATTTTGCCTAATAAAAAAGTCCTTAAATTGTTTTTGAAGCTGGCTAGCAAGACCAATAGACAGAGACACCTGGCTTGGCATTAGCAGATGCTGACTCAGTACCTAGAGAGGATGCATTTGTGGCTTGCAAGGCAGTATAGGAGATTTTTGGGCAACTTTAACTCTAGTCTTTAAGAGGACAATATGTAAAATAGGAGTATAATCAGGAAAACACAGCAAACATACAGGTACAAGGGAAGGCAAGAAGTTAAAGACTTGCGAAGAATAGGGGTTTTTTTGAACTTAATGATGACAGACAAACAATGCAGTAATTCAGAAGAGCAGTGTAGCAAAGGAATCTGATGAGAACTTATGAATAAGTACACAGCCCACTGTTACCTTGTAGGAAATACAAGACAGACAGACAGCTGCTCCTACAAGGGCTGGCGCGAGCTCTCACTAAAACACAACAAGAGCGGGACACCTGGTTCTGCAGGGCTTGCTGCGGGATACAGCGCCGGTACCTCAGTCCTGTCCGTTCGCACCTACTCCCTGAAGTTTAAGCAAATCTTCAAAATATCCTTGGAAGCCTGTTTGGAACCCAACGCGTTTGCTACTATCTTACTACTATCTTGCTACTAGTTTTGAACCTACACATCACCTTTACTGCCACAGCAGAGGCTACATGTTACTAGACTTTGAGGTAATTTAAAGCCAAAGGTGGGCAGGGAGAACAGACCAGCTGGTGGCTTGCTGGCAGGAGACCTTATGGGAAAGATCTACCCAACGACACGGAGTTCTCAGCACCACCAGAGCAGATTACCAGAGAGCAATGAAGGACACCGACACCGCTCCAGGACTGTCACCGCTGTCACTTAAGTTCCTTTTTAAGCAGAGCTGCTCCTGATTCAACAGCACCCGAGACAGAGCACTCCCTGCAACGCCCGTCAGCTTCGCAGGGGCACATCCACCCCACTGCCGTGACAAAACATTAGCCCCAAGGCAATGAGTTTGAGAAACTCTTTGTGCGGGGCCACAGCTCAGTTGCCGGGGGCAGGGCTTCCCAGGCAGG